GTCATGTCACTAGGACGCATAGTTTCCGAGGATTAAGCGAAAAACCGAAAAGTGGCACCTTTAAACCCCCCTCTCCCCGCCGGCTCAAGGGCTAAGGACGGGGACTTTTGCTATGTTCACCTCCTAACTAGTCTAAATAAAGTCCTGAAGTCAGAAATTGTGTTCTACAGTTTTCCATCTATAATGCTTTATTGACTGGACTATTACTTATAGGCGCTGGACGCAGGCCGCTACCAACCGGGCAACATGGAAAGCATTAGAGGAGGCCTATGTTCAGCAGTGGACGTCCTATGGCTGAGGTGATGATGATGATGATGAAACTTACTTAGCATAAGCCTTCTCCAGCAGAGCGCTCCAGAACTCATTGGTTTCCGAGGAGTGCAGGAACACCAGTTTGCCTCTGTACGTGGGCAGGCGGTCGTCGATCACCACGTCCACCCAGCGGCCATACTGCCAGAAACTGGAAAGGAAGAATGAAGCCTTTAACGGGTATATCTTATTAACACATTCCAAAACCCACTTCCACTTAGACTCAGACATACACACACACACACACACACAGAGAGAGAGAGACACACACACATCCACACACACACACACACACACACATACATAGTGAGCAGCAAGCATAACATAAAAGCCACATGTACAATTAAATTTAAGTAATTACAATGTCTCCAGAGGAATCACTGTTCTCTAAGATACAGGATCTATCCTAGTTTAGAGGACAGGGGCATGCCACTCTACCGACTTGTACTTACTGTCATAGCTGGGCATTAACTCGTTAATCCGTTAATCGTTAATTAACGAAGTTAACATTTCTATTAACGGATTAACTTTTAAGTTAATTTTAAAAAATGTTAACGGACTCGTTAACTTCCGTTAAATTATCCGAAGTCCGTTAATCGTTAATCCAGTACCTACCATTTACCAAAAAGATACAGCATGCACGCTGAAAAACACTAGAAAAACGCGTTTCTGACAAGTATTCTACAAAACGAATGTAAATTTATTAGTCTACTGCCCGTTTTCACCATCAATCCGTTAAGCGTTTGCTAACTAAACATCACTTTGTTTAAACGATCGCCTAAACTGCCCACTAACCTAAGTTCGTTTTCACCATGCTATAGTAAACCTAAGTAGGGACTCTTTTGTTAGGTGGCGTTTCTTCGTGCGCCTAGTGACGTTTGAATAACCGGTAATTTCCGATAAAATATTTTATTGGGAATATCTTACGTATTTCACAGAAACAAATGAAATAAAAGTAAAATTAAGAAATAGTTGACCAAAACTGATGTCTTTTTGTATTTTTGAGTTATTATTAAAGACAAAAAAGATATTTGGGCTATTATGTAATCTGTGGTTTGGGTGCATAATGTAATTCCTTTGCCTTAAAAAAAGTAAATGTCAAGATGACTGCTGCACCACATTATATGAAGATAAAAATGTACAATGTGTACATATTGATTTTGATAGATATTTTGTTGAGTTCTGTGTGTAGTTTTGTGCGATTTAACGATAAAAACGACAATGGAAAAAAGAAATGAATATTATATTATATTTTTCCCTCAAGGAAAAAGATAAATTGGTTTACTTGCCCACAAGGATACTGTACGAGCACGTTAGCATCGACCGCGACCTACGTGCTAGCCGACTGGCCCATGAACCCTCAACGTGCACCGTAGGCACTCTACACCGACGGCATATTGGAATGGACACATTGAATTGTGTAAATCTTGTATATAGCAATAGCATAACAGTAATANCACGGGTTGCGCAGGCGGAGCAGCGGGATCTTGCCGGCGCGGCCGGGCGTCTCGATGTCCACGTACTTGACGCGCGTGACGGAGTACGCGTGGCCTCGGACCAGGCCCACGGGGGTCTAACCTAGGTGTCTTAGGTAGACGACGAACAAGGCAACGCGCGCGAATGTATGAGTAGTGCTACGTAGTCGCGTAGGACAGACGTCGCGTCGCGTCGCATCTTGCAGCGTTATAAAGCATCCCGTAGCGTCATGTCGCGTCCCGTAGCGTCATGTCGCGTCCCGTAGCNCTGTGGTTTGGGTGCATAATGTTATTCCTTTGCCTTAAAAAAAAGTAAATGTCAAGATGACTGCTGCGTCTGCTGCTAAATAAAAATAAAAATGTACATTGATTTTGATAGATATTTTGTTGAGTTCTGTGTGTAGTTTTGTGCGATTTAACGATAAAAACGACAATGGAAAAAAGAAATGAAGCAAAATTTTTCCCTCAAGGAAAAAGATAAATTGGTTATAATTTTACTTGCCCACAAGGATACTGTAAGAGCACGTCAGCATCGACCGCGATCTACGTGCTAGCCGACTGGCCCATGAACCCTCAACGTGCACCGTAGGGCGTAGGCACTCTACACCGACGGCACATTGGACTGAACACATTGAATTGTGTAAATCTTGTATATAGCAATAGCATAACAGTAATAAACTTAGTAATAAACCAGATATCAACCGTCCGCGTTGTGTTTCATTTACCCCCACTGAGGCCAAGAAAGCCTTAGTGCAGCCCTCCTTCCTATCAAATCTTTATTATATCTAATTATAAGGTATTGTTAGGGCTCTAGGGACTACAAACGAAGCCAGAAATATAGCTTGGTTATGAGATAAAGTTATGAGTGACCAATACCTAATAGCTATACCGTATGTAATCCTGTCTCACTCTATAATATTATTATGTGGCCGCCTGAATAAACTTGAGTGAAAAAGTGTTTCCACTGTCTCAATTGCATAAAAAGCTCCAAAAAAATCATTTAATTCAGTTTCCATTTTGCCGAATAGGCGTGATTGACAATATAACTGTCACCTAACACTTAGGCGGCCGAAAATCGGGCCCCTGTTTTAAAGTGATCCCATAAGGCCTAAGGTGTCCCTTATGTGTTGGTGAAAACGAAATTCCTGTTAGGTATTACCTAATATTTCATAAGGGTCGCTTTAAAATTAGGGATTGATGGTGAAAACGGGCATACGTCTATTAGTTTCGACGTAATTGTTGAACAAAGATACCCCTTCCCAGCGGTTTCCATAGCGCACGCGACATGCGAAAATGCACTGCCTGAAAGAATCACACAACCTATTCCGATTACTATGGAAACCGCTGGGAAGGGGTATCTTTGTTCAACAATTACGTCGAAACTAATAGACGTAGACTAATAAATTTACATTCGTTTTGTAGAATAGCTCAAATACTAANACTATAGTAACAGTGTTACAGTGACTGGGAATTTTTGGGTGTGACTCGTTGGGAATAAGCGGTGACTTATGAGTAAATGTCTCGACTGAGTTTGTTGCGGCGCTTCTTCTCAGCACTTGCCAAATGTTGGTCTCGAAGCGCTGGTAGGGTAAAAAGATTATGAGACATGTAGAGGCTCCTTAAGAGCAAAATGACGATTTGTAAGAACTATTTATTAGTCTAAACAAATAAAGAAATTTTGACTTTGACTTGACTTGACTAACCTCGATACTGCACCCCATGAGCGAGTTCCTCTCATACGCCTTGAGCAGTATGGTGTAGAAGTTGGGCGGTAACTCCTGCATATCGTACATTTCGGTGACGCCGCCGGTGAAGTCTTTATGATATTACACTGTGGCGACATCTATCAACACGCCACTATAGTCATCACTCAACAGATGGCGCTGACCTACCTTACTATGGCACATGGCGCCTACAATCCTGCATCGCGGTATGAAAGTTCTCCGCTCTAAGTATAATATGTAGAAAACCGAGATGATTGATAACTGGACCTTGCGCAGCACCCGTTCAGATATTTCGCAAGCAGCTGCTATCCTTATTATTAAGCAAAGCCCCCGTTCAGATATTTCGCAAGCAGCTGCTATCCTTATTATTAAGCAAAGCCTACTATACATTGACAGAGTTTTTAACTGACAAATTGTAAGATTCTTGACCTTTTTTATGTTTAAATGTTTATGAAATTGTTACTGATTGGACATTACTAACTTACTTTTTATTTTATTTAATTTCTACTAACCTAATACGACTCAATGATGTTATGTAAATTTGTACGCCGACCTTGGGCCAAACATAGTGATACCGACTTAATTTTTAACACCTGTAATATGTTATTTACCTATGTTCCACAAATAAACGTATTTGATTTGATTTGATTTGATTTGAAGGAAGCAATTCAACCTTGGCTAATTTATTGTGGTATCCTCAAATCCCACAATAAACGCCTTTATATGAATTAATGAAATAGTTTATTCAGTACATAGGTCCTTTCCAGGGCACTTATACACGTCCCAAATATAGCTTGCCCTACCACCACTTCGGGACAACATGGGCTGGTGCTGAGAAGAAGTGGCGGAAGAAACTCAGTCACCTTTGTCAGCCTCTTTTTCAATTCAATACAGTAATTTATAGCTTACATGACACGTAATAAGTGCGAGCTAGGCAGGTAAAGTCCACGCATATAGAAACACCTCGCAAATGTCTGTCTTGTTGTCTAAAGTCCTGTCCCCGAGCAATATAACTACGCGCGAGCGATAAGGATGGGTAGCTTGGGGTCATTGGACGAAATTCTATCTACTCGGCGACCGGACTTTAGTAACTATGAGTAAGGCCGGGTTTCCACTAAAGCGAAGAGAAGACGAGCGGAGAGGAGACAAGATGTGAGGTGTTTGTAGCTGTCATACATCAATATGCTAACTAAAGCCCGGCCTGTGAGCACGTAGAATTTTGTCTAATGACCCCAAGCTACCCATCCTTATCGCTCGCGCGTAATTATATTGCTGTCGCGACTGTGCGACGGGCGCCCGCAGTGAGTGTGCGAGCGCGACAGCAACATAATTACGCGCGAGCGATAAGGATGGATAGCTTGGGGTCATTAGACAAAATTCTACGTGCTCACAGACCAGACTATAGTAACAGTGTTACAGTGACTTAATGGGAATTTTTGGGTGTAACTCGTTGGGAATAAGCGGTGACTTATGAGTAAATGTCTCGACTGACCTCGATACTGCATCCCATGAGCGAGTTCCTCTCATAGGCCTTGAGCAGTATGGTGTAGAAGTTGGGCGGTAACTCCTGCATATCGTACATTTCAGTGACGCCGCCGGTGAAGTCTTCCATCGCTTCACATGTGGACCCTCCTTTGAGGGCCTCGTAGGACCCGTGGAGCCTGGGGAAGGAGAAATTAAGGGTAATTTTTGGTATGGTAACACCTTTAACCGTCAGAAATGGAAGCACATCGCCAAGAGAGCTACCCTCAGAGATGACGTCTAACACCCCACCGTGTACCTCGTCAGCGCAACCAAGACTAAGAAGAAGAACACCTTTAAGGGTTGCCAAATGTGGGGTAAAAAAGAAACGACATATGGTAACACAAAAAAAATACTAAAGGTAACATCAATCAATTGATGTAGGTACCTTTTATGAGCTCTCTTCCATATAATTAAAATGGTAATGAGGATTAAGTATGATGTCCCTGTCCCGTTAATGTGTCATCAACACAATTAATTTCGAATGTGTTTTTTTAGAAGTCAGCACTCACTCCTTAATGATATTAACTATTCACTAGAGAACTAATGTCTACCATGACCTTTCTCTTACAAAGTCGTTAACACTTCATAGGGCACAATAATGTTAAATATTTTCAATGTTTTTTGAAGTTACAATAAGTCAATAATTAAGGTTCCAATTATGGTGGCAATATTTGAGATCTATAAAGGTTGAACTGTAAATGATTAAAGTTCAAATTATCATAAGGTCGAAAATCAATGTTAATTTTAAGTTTTATAGTGGTAAACTTACTTATAGGCGCTGGACGCAGGCCGCTACCAACCGGGCAACATGGAAAGCATTGGGGGAGGCCTATGTTCAGCAGTGGACGTCCTATGGCTGAGATGATGATGATGATGATGAAACTTACTTAGCATAAGCCTTTTCCAGCAGAGCGCTCCAGAACTCATTGGTTTCCGAGGAGTGCAGGAACACCAGTTTGCCTCTGTACGTGGGCAGGCGGTCGTCGATCACCACGTCCACCCAGCGGCCATACTGCCAGAAACTGGAAAGAAAGAATTAGTTGAATAAATCTTACTTTGGGGCTAGATGGCGCTGTGTGAAATTGTCTAAAGATATGTAAAAAACCACTTGTATAAAGTCAACAGTTACTTGAACTGACTGATCTATTTTAAACTACCGAACAGATTGCACTGCATTTTGTACGCACTTACTATCGGCACAGTTCCAGCTACCCATTTCCGTTTTTTCTCTCGCTCTCGTCAAATGGCGATTCCTTGCGATAGAACGAGACGACATGACCGGAAATGGGTAGCTGGAACTGTAGCCGATAGTACATGGTTCTTATGACAGGCATCTGCTAAGAAAAGGTTTTCCATAACTATGGGGGTGAAATGGGAGTGCAATGTTTAACGCGCGGGCAAGTGACATTTTATTTAAAATAAATACATTATCCTTGGGACACTTTACACAGCGCTATAAATGGCCTTTGGAGATTTACGACCAGCATTAATTGGTGAAAACTATTTGAATATAATTAAAAAAGATATTTTCTTCTTACCGGAAATGAAAAACGCCGGCATATTCTTCATCGAAGCTTTGGTCGTCCGGCACCACTTGGAAGAACAATCTGAAAGAAGGTAATTTAATTATTTATTAGTATTTAAGTTTAGCAACTATATTCGGCAACGCGTGAACCAACTTTTATTCTTTACGAATATTTTTTCAGTGTCACTGGACGGTTAAGTAGACTAAATAAGGAAGGTGTGTAGGGACATTTCATATTGGTAGAGCGCTGTTGTCCTCCTGAGCGTCATTATTGTAGTGTGTGCACTCATGGATAATTTAGCGTGTGCCGACCGATAACACTCAAACATTAGCGGAAGAATGGTGGGGCGCGTCTTCGTGGATGAAACGATCTACAGGGTGTTAGGTAAATTGGTATATGAGCCGACACTAGCCCATGTTAACATGGGCATATAAATGGTATGGTGAAGTCATAAAATTGATATCTTAAATTTAATTATTTTAATTTTCATACAAATCGAATTTTATAAAATTTATTTTGTATGAAAATTTTAAAAATTTATATGACGATATCAATTTTCTGACTTAACCACACCATTTATATGCCCATGTTAACAGTACGAGCACGTTAGCATCGACCGCGACCTACGTGCTAGCCGACTGGCCCATGAACCCTCAACGTGCACCGTAGGCACTCTACACCGACGGCACATTGGAATGGACACATTGAATTGTGTAAATCTTGTATATAGCAATAGCATAACAGTAATAAACCAGATATCAACCGTCCGCGTTGTGTTTCATTTACCCCGACTGAGGCCAAGAAAGCCTTAGTGCAGCCCTCCTTCCTATCAAATCTTTATTGTATCTAATTATAAGGTATTGTTAGGGCTTAGTTTGTAGTCCCTAGGACTACAAACGAAGCCAGAAATATAGCTTGGTTATGAGATAAGTTATGAGTGACCAATACCTACTATCTATACCGTATGTAATCCTGTCTCACTCTATAATATTTTTATATGTAGCCGCCTGAATAAACTTGAGTGAAAAAGTGTTTCCACTGTCTCAATTGCTTAAAAAGCTTCAAAAAAATCATTTCATTCAGTTTCCATTCTGCCGAATAGGCGTGATTGACAATATAACTGTCACCTAACACTTAGGCGGCCGAAAATCGGGCCCCTGTTTTAAAGTGCTCCCATAAGGCCTAAGATGTCCCTTATGTGTTGGTGAAAACGAAATTCCTGTTAGGTATTACCTAATATTTCATAAAGGTCGCTTTAAAATTAGGGATTGATGGTGAAAACGGGCATACGTCTATTAGTTTCGACGTAATTGTTGAACAAAGATACCCCTTCCCAGCGGTTTCATAGCGCGGCTAGTATATAGTCGGAATAGGTTGTGTGATTCTTTCTATGCATCAATGCAGTCCATTTTCGCATGTTAACAGCGCTATGGAACCGCTGGGAAGGGGTATATTTGTTCAACAATAATGTCGAAACTAATAGACGTACATTAATAAAGGACATCATCCATTTTGGTCCAAAATCAAAAGTGCCGGCCAAAAAATAAAAGTGCTGTATTCTGATAGAATACGTCCGCCTTGGCATTTATTACTATGGCACTGTCGCAGGCAAATTGTATGATTCCGCATTTTACAAACGGCGTCGTCAATTCACAAACGCTCGCTGTTCTATGAAATGCCGAAGGCAGAATGTAAATTGCCTTGGCACTTTATAATATGCCAAAACACTTGACAGCCAATTCAATCGCTGTTTACAAAATGCCGCGGCAAATTGAAGTATTTAGTTCTTTTTCTCACCACGCGAGGCGCTGCTAATCAAAACAAGAAAAATGGCGTCGGATAGTGGTGTTGTGATACAGAAAACAGTGCAAATTCTACGTATTCAAAGGACTTTTCACAAAAAAAAGACATTTATTATACTTAGTGAATTAAGAAAATTTTACGATTCACAAATAAGAGCAGTGAAAAAGCTATGGAAAAATAAAATAGTTTTTGAGGTTATCCGGCACGTAAAACACGCTAAGGTGACAATGGAATCTGGTGCTCGGAGGACTGCTGCGGAATATATTGGTATAAAAATATTGTGTTAATGTCTTCTAGACTTCTTCTTGGTATAATTAAAATGTAAGACTTATCTAAAGGACTGACTATCGAAACTCATTTAATGTCATATTTTTATGTACCTACCTATAGGTACGTCAATAGCTTAAATTAGTCTAGTGTTGTTTTTGTTACAGAAAAAATTTAATTACTTTAGGAGTAGCAGTATTTTAGGTTTGTCTTACTTGAATAGATACCTACCTGATTTCTGAAATTATGTCTGATTTGTCCAATATGTGTTTTATGATGGTCACCCTATTGCAACAATCATAGTCGAAATTTTATCAATTGAACGAGTTGCCAATTTGCCTTCGGCATTTCATAGAACAGCAAGCGTTTGTAAATTGACGACGCCGTTTGTAAAATGCGGAATCATACAATTTGCCTGCGACAGCACCAAAGCTGTAGCACCACTGTGCATCGTAGTATTTGAGTTCTTCACTTGTTTTTGAAGGAAGAGGTGAAAACTAAAAATTAAAAACTTAAATCCTTGTAATTTTGCGATAAATGGGTCAAACCCCAAATTTGAAGTATTTTTATCGATAAAATTGTCCCTAGATTTCGCCCCTAAAGTTTGATCACTACATGCCCGGACACAATATTGTACCTATATTGACTTCACTTGTTAGTATGCGTGGCACAAATCTTGCAACTGAATTTAAGACCAGTTCTACTCAACCGATTGAGCTGCAAATTGATAAACTTATATAAGTACAATGAAAATGCAATGTTATGGTACCATTGAGCTGGTCTAATGATGGAGTCAGAAGGGGGCCATAGGAACTCCTAAATGAAACGGCGGAATCGCATCGAATTTGGGTTCGTTGGATTTGTCTTTTCGATCACTTTAGTACTAGATGATGTCCAGGGTCCTGATGATGGAGTCAAGAGGTGGCCATAGGAATTCCTAAACGAAACGGTAGAAACTTATCGAGTTTGGGTTTGTTGGATTTGTCTTTTAGAGCACATTGGTGCTAAATTTGTTTTGTAATTGAACCAAGGCTCTGAGATTGAGATACTATAGACTAAGAGCTGCTAAACGCCAGACCGTCATATGTAAAAGCTGAAAGTTTGTTATGCTTTGTTGTTTGTTATGTTATGCTCCCAATATAGGTTAGAATGTTGGTGGATTATGAACATCGTGGCTTTGGCAGCTAATTATACTAAAAAAACTGTCTGGAAAGGAGTTAGAACTGTCAAAACTGTCTGGCTAAAAAGAGGAATAAATTCCATGCGCGATACAATAGCTTTCGAAATTATTTGAACCTTGCATACAATTATTTTTTTCGTTTTATTATAATGTGTTAACGGATTAACGATTAACGTTAACTTGCGTTAAATCTTGTTAAATGTAACGTTTTAACGTTAAACGAAGTTAATTTTTTTATTAACGGTTTAACGATTAACGAAGTTAACTATTTGATTAACGGTGCCCAGCTATGCTTACTGTACTAAAATACTTGTATTATGTATGTATGTATCTCAAAAAACTCCAAATGAATTTTTTGGACCTTAGTCTTAAAAAAATAATTTGGACTTTATTCCCACTGTCGTATAAAGGGTTAAATCACTTCAATTTGGGTAGAAATTAGGCGTGGACTTATTCTATTAAAAGACCTATATGAGACGCTCTTGCTTAACTACTTTGTAAAACTAGAGAAACTTATTCTAAGGCTGGGTTGCACCATCTTTAACAAATGTCAAAAATCTGTCAAACTCCATATAAAAAACACCGGTTATCGTCAAAGTTAAGTGGTGCAACTCAGCCTAAGAAAATGAATATAATAAAAATATGAAATAAAGGAATCGATTTAAGAATCTAAATAAAAAAGATTTACAATTTATCTTACCGGAAATGAAAAACGCCGGCATATTCTTCATCGAAGCTTTGGTCGTCCGGCACTACTTGGAAGAACAATCTGGAAATAATTGATTTGGTAATTAATGAAATGTGATATTGGTTATTGGTAGGTATACAATACTCATTGTACAGTCACGGAATGAAAAGGTTCGTCAGTTTTCAAATTGATTCCTTCAACGAATCGCGAGCACATTATTACCTTTTGAAACTATGTTACAGAATAATCTCGAGTTAGAGAAAATAATCTTTAACTGTTCGTCAGTAAAGTTCAAAATTATTCAGATCAAAGTTGTTTGACGATTTATCTTGCCAAGAAGATTATTATGATTGATAAACTAAAACCTTCTTGTTGGTTTTGGTAGGATCTCCCGCTCTTAGATGACGAGAGAGAGAGAGAGAGAGAGAGAGAGAGAGAGAGAGAGAAAGAGAGAGAAAGAGAGAGAGAGACGCCTATGTCTGTAGTAGGGGAGAACTCACTTTCTATGCAGTGTAAGGTTGGCGACGGCGGCCAGCAGCCAGCAGTCGCCCAGCTGTCTCTGTTGCTCATCGAAGCGACTGTAGGGGAGCAGTTTTTGGTAGGACCTCCCGCTCTAAGATGACGAGAGAGAGAGAGACGCCTATGTCTGTAGTAGTCTGGGAAGAACTCACTTTCTATGTAGCGTGAGGTTGGCGACGGCGGCCAGTAGCCAGCAGTCGCCAAGCTCTCCCTGTTGCACATCGAAGCGACTGTAGGGGAGCAGTTTTTGGTAGGATCTCCCGCTCTAAGATGACGAGAGAGAGAGAGACGCCTATGTCTGTAGTAGTCTGGGAAGAACTCACTTTCTATGTAGCGTGAGGTTGGCGACGGCGGCCAATAGCCAGCAGTCGCCAAGCTCTCCCTGTTGCACATCGAAGCGACTGTAGGGGAGCAGTTTTTGGTAGGATCTCCCGCTCTAAGATGACGAGAGAGAGAGAGACGCCTATGTCTGTAGTAGTCTGGGAAGAACTCACTTTCTATGTAGCGTGAGGTTGGCGACGGCGGCCAATAGCCAGCAGTCGCCAAGCTCTCCCTGTTGCACATCGAAGCGACTGTAGGGGAGCAGTTTTTGGTAGGATCTCCCGCTCTAAGATGACGAGAGAGAGAGAGACGCCTATGTCTGTAGTAGTCTGGGAAGAACTCACTTTCTATGTAGCGTGAGGTTGGCGACGGCGGCCAATAGCCAGCAGTCGCCAAGCTCTCCCTGTTGCACATCGAAGCGACTGTAGGGGAGCAGTTTTTGGTAGGATCTCCCGCTCTAAGATGACGAGAGAGAGAGAGACGCCTATGTCTGTAGTAGTCTGGGAAGAACTCACTTTCTATGTAGCGTGAGGTTGGCGACGGCGGCCAATAGCCAGCAGTCGCCAAGCTCTCCCTGTTGCACATCGAAGCGACTGTAGGGGAGCAGTTTTTGGTAGGATCTCCCGCTCTAAGATGACGAGAGAGAGAGAGAGAGAAAGAGAAAGATAAACGCCTATGTCTGTAGTAGTCTGGGAAGAACTCTCTATGCAGCGTGAGGTTGGCGACGGCGGCCAGTAGCCAGCAGTCGCCAAGCTCTCCCTGTTGCACATCGAAGCGACTGTAGGGGAGCAGTTTTTGGTAGGATCTCCCGCTCTAAGATGACGAGAGAGAGAGAGAGAGAGAGAGACGCCTATGTCTGTAGTAGTCTGGGAAGAACTCACTTTCTATGCAGCGTAAGGTTGGCGACGGCGGCCAGTAGCCAGCAGTCGCCAAGCTCTCCCTGTTGCACATCGAAACGGCTGTAGCCCTCCACGAATAACTGAGGGTTGTCGGCTATTTCCTGCAAGGATGACATTACATTTAGTTTGCGCCATTGTGTGATGAAGTGCGATAAAAATCGAGATTGAACTGCCTCAGCAGTGTCCGTCTTCAACATCAATTCTATAGCTGTCTATTGAATTGATGTTGAAGAGATCTTTCTTTCTCAAGAAACTTTGATTTTTATGGACATCACACAAAGACAGAGGTAACACATAAAACATAATAATGGAAGAGAAAGTGAAATGAGCATTGTCACCCTGTCGCAACAGCGATGCCCACTGCAACGGGACCCCACTCAGCATATGCCGTGGCCCACGGTGACGAAGGCCACGACGCCCCATACGCTAGTTGTCTGTCACCGTCGTACGATTGACAATGTTTAAATGATGTCAAAACTCGACGCTCCCCTAGATTTTGTATGAAGTATGATGCCACTTTTTCACCAAGACAGTGTAGTTGACTTATTGTTTATTGATTTCATTTCAAAGGTACTAAACACATTTTTTTTAAAAAGTAATTGGGTATTCAAGGACAAAATTATTATGTACTTTTCGAGAAGTTGTGTCTTGGAATTTAATATTAGTGGTGTCAAGTCATTAAAGAACGATCAGTAATTGAACTGTCTCAGTGTCAATGCTGCTTAGCTTTATTTGTTTGAATATCGCCGTTTCTATTGGCATTATGAAATCTTTGATCCTAACCTGAATCTACTTCAATTCTTTAATCGACTTCCTCACAAATTCAAATTTTCTAAAAAATATCCTCACTTGAATTTCAGTAGGAGTGGTCACTAAAAACCACAGAAACTAAAGGGAGATGTGACAAGGGGGCGGGGTCGGTGTCGCAGCAATATGCCCAAAAACAGAACACATTGCTCGTGACAGCAATGATGACAGCAGCGACGTCATAATGTAAACAGTTTACATTGCTTGCGTAGTACTAAAGATTATTCGAACGTTGAGTACTGATACCGCAGTGGATAATGAGCACATATTTTGATTACTTTGTGTGTGTGAATTTGTAATGCGACACTGAGTTTCGAACTCAGCACATTAGTTGGCATCTCTCTATATCTCTATGCTAAAAACACACTTACCCCAGGTCTCAGCCAAGTGATGGGTCTATCCAGCCTCTCCTTGTAGTAGAGACTGCGGTCTATAGCAGGGAACTCGGGGTCTTCGAACAGCCTGCCTTCAGCTAGGCATCGGGAGCGGATGTCCTTGAAGTCCTGGTATGTAGCCGGACCGAAGGACGATGGACGGGTCTCGCCTAGCTGAAATTATATGGAAAGGTTTTGAGACCATGAAATAAATATACATTTTCTGAGGTGTATCGAAATTGGGAGACTGCTTACAAGTCTCGATTCAAAGACGGGGCCGTTGCGGGTCCAATTACAGTTTAAAACTTTCCCCCGGGACAAACTTGACCTTCACTGGTTGCGTTTTATTGGCGGTCAAGCTGTAGACCCTGGCTACACAGGAGTTCAAAATCAAAATCAAAAATATTTATTCAATTTAGACCACAAGTGGCACTTATGAACGTCAAAATATAGTAAATAACAAAAAAAGAAAAGGTAGCCCTTATGGGACACTTTACATGTCTCCTTATCTTTTGGGCCCTACCAGCGCTTCGAGACAAACATATGGCAAGTGCTGAGAAGAAACGCCGGAGCAAACTCACTCAAAGTTGCAGCGGTGGGATAGTCCAATGTGGATACAAAGTCGGTTTCGGGTTTAAAAGGGTACAGTTTTTGTGCTCAACATTTGGCACTACTGGTGAGTGACAGGACTTTACAGTGGTGTTATCCGTTCAACTCTGTAATTCAGTAATTACTTAGATTCGGCGTTTTCTTCTATGTATTAGTTACTTCGCTCTGTGAAGCGGTTTGATGAAGAATGAAAATTCCCATGAATGTTATTTTGTTTAGGGTCTCTGGCGATTGCAAATTATATGCGATATTAGTTGCCAGTTGGTGCTACCAAAGCCTTCTTCAAATCCCAACTAATATTATAAATGCGAAAGTAACTCTGTCTGTCTGTCTGTCTGTCTGTCTGTCTGTCTGTCTGTTACGCTTTCCCGCTTAAACCTCGCAACCGATTTTGATGAAATTTGGCATAGAGATAGTTTGAGTCCCGGGAAAGAACATAGGATAGTTTTTATCCCGGTTTTTGAAACAGGGACGCGCGCGATAAAGTTTTTCTGTGACAAAATTCCACGCGGGCGAAGCCGCGGGCGGAAAGCTAGTATATTATAAATAAGGGTACTACGGAACCCTAAAAATAAAACGCTTTTCAAACTACGGATTTCTGAGGTAGTAAAAACACCATAGGTAGGAAAATTAAATAGAGAACCTCCTTTTTGAAGTGGGTTGTACAAACACAATAATAATGTAATAATTATTTTACAACAAGGACAATTATTGTGGGGTGACATTCTGATATAAATGAGCGATATTATTATTTATCAGGTCGCATCCTTTTCCAGGATTAAACATAATAATTATAGGAATTAAATTATATCAATTACTAGCTGTGCCTGCGACTTCGTATGCGTGAAAACTCATGTTCACAACATTTTTCATTGTTGCTCTGCTCCTATTACTCGTAGCGTGATGGTATATAGCCAAAGCCTTCCTCGATAAATGAGCTTTCTAACACTGAAAGAATTTTTCAAATCGGACCAGTAGTTCCTGAGATTAGCGCGTTCAAGTAAACATACAAACAAACTCTTCAGCTTTATAATATTATAAGTATAGATGTACATTTACTTTCAGCCTCATGTATTTACATTTGTTACTGTCCAACAAGACAAAATCTTTGAAAATGGAAAACTTGAGATAAATAACAGCACAGTTTGGTGCTTGTCGATCCGTTCGAATTTATAATTCAAAGGACATTGTCAGAAACCGCCTAAAAAACCGCCAAAAAACATTAACCCATCATAATTATTTTCAATTTTTTTTAATACATTAAGCACCCTTTCGTTCTAATGGACACTTAAGCATTGAAAAATTAAATAAATAAGTCTTTTAACGTTTATTCTATAATACTATTACAACTTCCGGACGTTTTGGTACGTGGCATGGTCTAAAACCTATCAAGTTCCATAATTTTTGCNCAGCTTCGAGCACGTTGGGGTCAGGCTGTTGACAAAATACAAAATATATTATAACACATTTAATAATCCAAGCAAGGAAGCTCAAAGTTGCACAGCGTGCTATGGAGAGGGCTATGCTCGGTGTTTAATCAATCTGCTAACTAAAGCCTGGCCTGTGAGCATGTAGAATTTTGTCCAATGACCCCAAGCTACCCATCCTTATCGCTCGCGCGTAATTATGTTGCTGTCGCGCTCGCACACTCACTGCCGGCGCCCGTCGCACAGTCGCGACAGCAATATAATTACGCGCGAACGATAAGGATGGGTAGCTTGGGGCTTGGGGTCATTGGACAAAATTCTACGTGTTCACGGACCAGGCTTTAACACATTTAATAATCCAAGCAAGTCTTCCAATCTTTACGAGATCGAATCAGAAATGAGAAGATCCGTAAACGAACTAAAGTCGCTGACATAGCCCGACGGATTAGCAAGCTGAAGTGGCAATGGGCAGGGCACATAGTACGCAGAACTGACGGCCGATGGGGCAGCAAGGTTCTGGAGTGAAGGCCGCGTACCGGAAAACGCGGCGTAGGATGGCCACTCACAAGGTGGACCGACGACATTATAAAGGTAGCAGGAAGGCGCTGGACGCAGGCGGCTACCAACCGGGCAACATGGAAATCATTGGGGGAGGCCTATGTTCAGCAGTGGACGTCTTGTGGCTGAAATGATGATGTGACTTATGAGTAAATGTCTTGACTGACCTCGATACTGCACCTCTCACTGCTCGATAATTCTACGTGCTCACAGACCAGACTATAGTAACAGTGTTACAGTGACTTAATGGGAATTTTTGGGTGTGACTCGTTGGGAATAAGCGGTGACTTATGAGTAAATGTCTCGACTGACCTCGATACTGCACCCCATGAGCGAGTTCCTCNTTAAACAGGAATGGTTGGACGCACAGGACTTTTGTCTATGTGTGCGTGCCTCTTATACATTGACGTATTAGCGGTAATGACTTTTCGTTTGATTGGTGTGTTAGTTGACTTATTTTCGAGGATTTTTAAAAGGAGATCGGCAAAATGGACGCGAATTGGGCGATGGACGCGAACAGGCGAAATGACCCTATGTCAAAATTGTTGGTTCTTTAGGCGAACAATGTATGGAGAACGAACATTGTCCTTTAACAATTTGTTATTTTAACTACGAATCAAAAAACCGGGCCTTAGCCGCCTCTCACATTTGCAGTCTCACTTACTAGGTGTGCTGGAAGAAATTTCTTTTTAGAAATAATCTTTTTGTACGTGAACAATTAACTATAAATAAATAAATAAGAATGACGTCAATTTCGAAACACCCCCCCCCCTATCTATCATTTACCGTCATCCGCAGACCAACCCCCCCCCCCTAATTTAGAATGACGTAATATATGGACGGCCCCNAAAATTGATATCTTAAATTTAATTATTTTAATTTTCATACAAATCGAATTTTATAAAATTTATTTTGTATGAAAATTTTAAAAATTTATATGACGATATCAATTTTCTGACTTAACCATACCATTTATATGCCCATGTTAACATGGGCTAGTGTCGGCTCATATACCCATTTACCAAACACCCTGTATAGTAGGGGAGAACTCACTTTCTGTGCAGCGGCGTGAGGTTGGCGGGGGTAGTTTGACCAAGGAAGGGCGGAGTCTAACCGAGTGGAGAGGGCAAAATCAGATTTTTTTGGTCTCCAAGTGCAGTGTCTGTCTGTAGTAGTTCGGTAAAAGGGAAGAACTCACTTTCTGTGCAGCGTAAGGTTGGCGACGGCGGCCAGTAGCCAGCAGTCGCCAAGCTCTCCCTGTTGCACATCGAAGCGACTGTAGCCCTCCACGAATAGCTGAGGGTTGTCAGCTATTTCCTGCAAGGATGATATTACATTTAGTTTGCGCCATTGTGTGATGAAGTGCGATAAAAATCGAGATTGAACTGCCTCAGCAGTGTCTGTCTTCAATAACAATTCAATAGACAGAAAGATCTTTCTTTCTCAAGAAACTTTGATTTCTATGGACATCACACAAAGACAAAAAAGGTAAATAAAAAAAGACAGAGGTAACACATAAAAAATAATCATCATTTCAGCCATAGGACGTCCACTGCTGAACATAGGCCTCCCCCAATGCTTTCCATGTTGATCGATTGGTAGCGGCCTGCGTCCAGCGCTTCCCTGCTACCTTTACGATGTCGTCGGTCCACCTTGTAGGTGGACGTCCCACGCTGCGTTTTCCGGTACGCGGCCTCCATTCCAGAACCTTTCTGCCCCATCGGCCGTCAGTTCTGCGTACTATGTGCCCTGCCCATTGCCACTTCAGCTTGCTAATCAGTCGGGCTATGTCAGCGACTTTGGTTCGTTTTCGGAGCATAAAACATAATAATGGAAGAGAAAGTAAAATGAGCATTGTCACCCTGTCGCAACAGCGATGCCCACTGCAACGGGACCCCACTCAGCATAAGCCGTGGCCCACGGTGACGAAGGCCACGACGCCCCATGCGCTAGTTGTCTGTCACCGTCATACGATTGACAATGTTTATGATGTCAAAACTCGACGCTCCCATAGATTTTGTATGAAGTATGACGCCATTTTTTCACCAAGACAGTGTAGTTGACTTATTGTTTATTGATTTCACTAAAAAAAAAACCCATTTTATTGGAAACTAATTGGGTTTTCAAGACAAAATTATTATGTACTTTTTGAGAAGTTGTGTCTTGGAATTTATTATTAGTGGTGTCAAGTCAATTAAGAACGATCCGTAATTGAACTGTCTCAGTGTCAATGCTGCTTACTTTATTTGTTTGAATATCGCCAGTTTCTGTTGGCATTATGAAATCTTTGATCCTAACCTGAATCTACTTCAAGTCTTTAATCGACTTCCTCATAAATTCAAATTTTCTAAAAAATATCCTCACTTGAATTTCAGTAGTGGTCACTAAAAACCACAGATCACAGAAACTAAAGGGAGATGTGACAAGGGGGCCGGGCCGGTGTCGCAGCAATATGCCCAAAAACAGAACACATTGCTCGTGACAGCAATGATGACGGCAGCGACGTCATAATGTAAACAGTTTACATTGCTTGCGTAGTACTAAAGATTATTCGAACTTTGAGTGCTGATACTGCAGTGGATAATGAGCACATATTTTGATTACTTTGTGTGTGTGAATTTCTAATGCGACACTGAGTTTTGAACTCAGCACATTAGTTGGCATATATAACTCTACTATCTATATCTATATCTATTATATAAAAGAAAGTCGTGTTAGTTACTCCACTTATAACTCAAGAACGGCTGAACCGATTTAACTGTAAATTGTCAGGGAGATAGTTCAGAGCCAGGAGAAGGACATAGGATACTTTTTATCCCGTTATTTATTGCCATTAAGGCGGAACAAAGTTCGCCGGGTCAGCTAGTAGGTATATAAAAGAAAGTCGTGTTAGTTACTCCACTTATAACTCAAAAACGGCTGAACCGATTTAGCTGAAAATTGTCAGGGAGGTAGTTTAGAGCCAGGAGAAGGACATAGGATACTTTTTATCCCGTTCGAAATAAAAAAAAAAGTCTGCTTATTTATTGCCATTAAGGCGGAACAAAGTTCGCCGGGTCAGCTAGTATAACTCTATATCTCTATGCTAAAAACACACTTACCCCAGGTCTCAGCCAAGTGATGGGTCTATCCAGCCTCTCCTTGTAGTAGAGACTGCGGTCTATAGCAGGGAACTCGGGGTCTTCGAACAGCCTGCCTTCAGCTAGGCATCGGGAGCGGATGTCCTTGAAGTCCTGGTATGTAGCCGGACCGAAGGACGATGGACGGGTCTCGCCTAGCTGAAATGACATGAAAAGGTTTTAAGACCACGAAATAAATAAATTTCTTGAGGTGTATCGAAATTGGAAGACTGCTTACAAGTCTCCATACAAAGACGTTGCGGGTCCAAAAACAATTTAAAATGTTCCCCAGGGACAAACCTGACCTTCACTGGTTGCGTTTTATTGGCGGTCACGCTGTAGATCCTGGCTACACAGGAGTTGCAGCGGTGCGTTTAGGGTTTAAAAGGGTACAGTTTTTGTGCTCAACATTTGGCACCACTGGTGAGTGACAGGACTTTACAGTGGCATTATCCGTTCAACTCTGTAATTCAGTGATTACTTAGATTCGGCGTTTTCTAACATGTATGAGTTACGAGTACTTCGCTCTGTGAAGCGATTTCGGAATGAAAATTGACATAAATGTTATTTTGTTTAGGGCCTCTGGTCCGGTGATTGCAAAATATATGCGATAGTTGCCATATTGCTTCTCACTAGTGCTACCAAAACCTTCTTCAAATAATATAAATAAGGGTTCCTTGTCAGGACTACGGAACCTTAAAAATCAAATGTTTTTCAACAAGTACAACTACGGATTTCTGAGGTAGTAAAAAAACCATAGGTAAACTAAATAGAGAACCTCCTTTTTGAAGTGGGTTACAAACACAATAATAATGTAATAATTAATTATTTTACAACAAGGACAATTATTGTGGGGTGACCTTCTGATATAAATGTGCGATATTATTATTTATCAGGTCGCATCCTTTTCCAGGATTAAACATAATAATTATAGCAATTAAATTATATCAATTACTAGCTGTGCCTGCGACTTCGTACGCGTGAAAACCCATTTTCAGAACATTTTTCATTGTTGCTCTGCACCTATTACTCGTAGCGTGATGGTATATAGCCTAAAGCCTTTCTCGATAAATGAGCTTTCTAACACTGAAAGAATTATTCAAATCAGACCAGTAGTTCCTGAGATTAGCGCGTTCAAGTAAACAAACAAACAAACTCTTCAGCTTTATAATATTAAGTATAGATGTACATTTACTTTTAGCATCATGTACCTATTTAGATTTGTTACTGTCCAACAAGACAAAATCTTTGAAAATGGAAAACTGAGATAAATAACAGTGGGTCTAGACAAAGTGCAAATTATAATCGCAAACCAGTCGAAAAGTGGTCGAAAAGCCCCTTTTTTGTATGGAGTTTTGACGGATTCGATTTTCGATTCGATCAAAAAGTGCGTTTTGTCTAGGGGGCCGGCACAGTTTGGTGCTTGTCGATCCGTTCGAATTTATAATTCGAATTTCAAACTCACATATGCATGTTCACACGACAGTCCTGTTTTGCGGGATCCTGCATTACTGGATCCCACAAAATTAGATTATCCTGGGAACTAGCCCTTAGGCGGTCTTAGCCACCTCTTCCAGACAACCCAGACAGATAACGTTTGTTTAAGATAAAAGTAAACTGAAAATTGTTTAAATTGAGCCTGATGACTTAGATATATATACCCAAAAACTGGTCTAGCCAGGCAATAATATCAAAATGACAAACCCAAAACAGCTGTTCGCCTGTCGGCATGTACATTTTGCTCCCGTTATAATATGGCGGCATCCTTAACTTGTACTCGTTGTGTAGATGCACACGCGAAAGTTTTGGCACTTGTTCTTTTGGAGATTTGTTGACTAGAAACTTTTTACTCAACGTCACTTTAGGTGAGTAATGGGACTGAGATTCTTTTTCGAAGACTATAGCTTTATTCACAACAGCATGACTTATAGTTTTGATTTCAGCTTCTTCAATAGCCTTAACTGTTTTCTCTTTTGGACTGACTACTTTCGTAGCCCAGAAAGGCTTGTAAGAACTGTTCTCCCGCACTTTTGGCTGCTGGTATTCAAAATCCGATACCTTCGCTTTCTTGAAATCATCGAAGAGTCTTGAAAAGAATCCAGCATCTTTGTGCTCCGGTTTTTTCTTTTCTACACTTATCTGGTTTGATTTCTGTCTTATTATTCGTCCGGATTTGGGTGAGATTATAGACACAGATTTGCGTTTCCATTTTTCAACAGCGTTTGATACGTTTGCAGTTGCATAAAAGGTGTTCAGACGACCGACATCTTCTTTTCTTAATTTCAGGACCGTTTCTTCTTTGACTTCTTTAGGCATCGTGACGATCTTTACACACTACTTTGTACTGATGAGTTTTTTAAATGCTGTTGTTTTTAAGTGCAATTAAATCTTTGGATAATGAGTTACTTTAAAATCCAGTCCAAGGATGCATTTAAATGTAATAACATTGTTGAATTTTGGTCTATTTGTTATACAAAGCGTTAAGTATTGAGGAAAAACTATCGAGTTTACATAAAGGTTAACACGGAAATGTAATAAATTGTTTAAATATACATTTTACAATGTATTTTATATTGTTAGAGCGACATATTACCCATTAAACGAAAACTTTCTATGTCACTTCGATGTGGGCAAAGAGACCTTGAAACAAAGTTAATTTAATCGATTTTACAGGCTGCTTTTAGAAAACGTGATTGTATATTACCTATAAGCACAATTAACGTATATTTTATCGACCACGCTTTGTATGTAATTAAACTATTTCACTCTTTTTTTTCAATGGTTTTTAAAGATAATAACAGTATTTAAAATTCAGACAAAACTAATCATTTTTCATACAAATCCCTCATAAATTATAGTTTTTATTATATTTTTGACGTTCAAAGTTGGATTTTAAATTCACTAATGAACACATTTCACTTTTAACTTAACTATAAACACAGGACTATTTAACTGGACAGTTGATTAGCACGATGTCAACTGTCCATACGTCCAAAACTGAAATTATTGACTGAAGTAAGGACTGGCTGCTATCAGTCCTATTATATGAGTGGTCAATGCGTATATACATGTATGTGGAGGAAGTCCATAGAGAATACGATAAGGCTTGTGGTGTTGTTCTAGCTATAGTTTTTAATAACTTATTTTTAACTTTACAGTAATAAACATAGTGCATGCATAGTTTCGAAAGTATGATTTGGATATTGAATAATTCAGATTCAAGATGTGTATGTTACATTTTAGAATATAGACTTTACGTTTTGAAAAATAAAATGGAAAATTAATATAGCGTTTATCTAACAATTAAAATGATCGATGTGCCTCATCGACATTAAGATAAGTTCGTTAAAACTCAATTGTCTAAATAAACAAAGAATTGTCACACCAAAATAGTAACAATTGAGAAGTAGTATATCTCAATGACACAATGAAAATGTTTAGACTGCCTTAATTGTGTGACTGTATCACTGCCTTTAACACGACTTTGAAGACAGGTCAATTGCCTATCAATTTTATATCAAATCGTCACTACTAATAATTGATTATTTTACAATAGGCTTATTGCACTTCAATTTAAAAACATAAGAGATTTTATACTATTTATTTATAATCAAATAATATTTCAATTTGTAACTATCGCTTAAATAACCGTTCACACTACTAGCAATCCTTATGTAAAAATAGCTATCTTCATTAATAACCCTGATCAAATATGGGTCCCATGAGACCGCCTTGGGGTACACCACTGTCCAGGCGTGGTGTGCAACAATTCTCACTTGCCAAGTTATGGTGGGCCAATGGTGTCGTAAAAATAATTACCAGGCAACGTAATTTCCAAAGAGCCCTTTTAACTAATTGGGCTTTTATAGTTTTTCTACCTATGTTGCAGTTGAGTTGTTTTGTCGTACTCGTCAGCCTTTGACAAGTTTAGGTTTAATAAACAAAATAATTTGCTTGTTACCGATTGAAAAGTGTTATATTATTTTATTTTAATGTAATTGTAAACTGTAGAGGAAATTCCATGTAAGTATAAAGTATAATAACACTAAGCCTGTGGTTACTATAAATAAGAAAATGTTTTCCGCAATCGATTAGTAAATACATAAGGAAAGTAAGTTGAATATTAAATAGTAATTATACGCACATAATCATACTTTCTTTAATGTTATTAACACTTAGGTATGGACCACCAAATAAATTATTTTTAATCCTATCTTGAAGTAAAATCCGTATCCGTGAGTAATACGTAACGTTCAAAATGTTTTATTATTTATCTCATTTGTACTAGAAAGACCTTGTCTAGATAGTCGATCTCGGTGCCGGCATTTCCCCAATCGGGAAGGGTACACCCTCACACATCAAGAACAACACTATTGGTTGAGTCATAGGGTAATTTAAATATTCTAAAAAGTCGTTACTTCGTAATGTTCGTGGAAATTGGAAAACAACTCCCAATTACTGAACTTTTTTAATCGTAATCCTTTCCCACAAAGGTGTTCCCTCCCTCTTTGTCTGAAAGCGTTTTTGATAGACCACTCATACCATCGATCCAGGGTCACAGTCTGTGAGAGGTCGTCTGGCGTCTGGTGTCTAGACTGGAGGGACGGAGGACGGTGTTTTTACAACATTATTCAATAAAGGGAAGTAGTCGGAACTACGGGGATTCCTTTGTTCTCGTGATTTACAGAGCTGTTTTGGTTGTTTTACGTGTTTCTGAGAGTTCAGGACAATTATTCTTATTAAATAAATCTGTGAAGAAAGAAGCTTTGAGTGCTCGATTAGTTGTTAAGAATTAGTCCGAAAGTTAAGGAAAATTATTATACCATGAGGACAGAGGAATGATAGGACACGGTACGTCTTATTAATCAGCAAGCTAATGAAAATTAGCCTGAACACACTATGTCTTCCGCCCCGTTCCTTTCCTATACAAAATGAATTTTCAACGTATCCGCGAACTTCTAATGCAAAAGTAGGAATTTTCAGCAAAACATTTACACCCAAGAATCCGTATCTATGACCGCTCACGCCTACATTACCATCTGTATTCTAGCTAGGGTAATTAAATGGTGAAGACGACCCTATTCCGCAAATCGATTTCAATACAACTCGGCTATATTTTTCTCTTTCTATCCCCATGGCGTGATAGAGACAGATACGAGTCGATATAAGAAATCGTTTCGCGTAGTAGACCGCTGTATCACAAACATGCGGTGGGATGTATAAATATATCTCGTACTACGCAACGGTACGAGTTCAAGTTTTGAAATGTTTATTGAAGGAGTATTTTATGAACAAGATCAAAGTATTGAAGCATATTTCGTTTTCTTATGTTGAAACGGAACTTAATTTATTCAATCGGCAAAGAATTATCATTATATCGCATCTCTGATGAATAGTGAATGAGTCTCTAATGCAGACAAAAAAACCAAAATCGCATTAATAATACCGTTTATGTAAAAAAAAACATTCTGGTTTCCTCAAGTCAAATACACTTTTTTTTAGTTTCGCTGCCATACAACAAACTATAAGTTTACATTACATACAAGATAAGGGTGGTTGGGATGGTTTGAGGGACTTACGTTACGAATACATTTAGGAATATTGAAGAAACAAAATGATTTGCAGAATCAGAAGTTCCAAAAGACTTAAAACTCCAAAAAACGTATTGAGGGAAAAAGGACAATGACCAAAAGTGGTCCAAATGTCCACCACTAATGAGACCTATATTATCATATAGTCCATTAAATAGAGATTAACTTTCAGTATGGGACGAAAAAAAAATAAGCTGTCAGTAAAAAGTTATGACTGTTTGAAAAATTGTAGTAGTTTAGGCGCTAATCTCAGGAACTACTGGTCCGACTTGAAAAAATATTTTTGTTATGGATAGCCCATTTATCAAGGATGGTTTTAGGTTATATAACATCACCCTACAACCAATTTTCGCATTATTCCAAGTACATATTCCCATTGTTGTCTTTCTTCTGACCTTTTTTTTTTTCTTTTAGCGAGAACCTAACACGGCACACTAAGCGACATAACATAATATGCATAGATTAGACCAAAATGTGCAATGGGTAGTATGATATCAAGAACATTTTTCAGATGAAAAGGTGAAAAACATGACTTTTCATTCAATCATAACTTTTTACTGACAGCATATTTTTGATTGCGGTTTGGTTATAATGAATCAGTATTTAGTAGACTATTTTACTATATAGGTCTCGTTAGTGGTGGACATTTGGACCACACTCCATACATTTTTGGTCATTGTCCTTTGAACTGCATAAAATTCGCGTTCATTTGGGTATTCATTGTACCTAATAATAGACTGTATTACACATTGTGTTTGTTTATTGTTGAACTTCAGTGTTCTGTCACTCATTCGTATACCTATCTTTTACAATACCGCATCTTGACGCGTTGGCAGTCGGTCAATACGCAACTATTTTTGCTATGATAATGATGACGAATGGCATGTTCAAATGCTGAAGCTTTGTCAGTTCAATCACCTTTATGAATTTCGATGACAGACAGTTTATTGTATCTTGCGCAATTTTCTTTCAATTTTAAAACCACGACTATTGTGATTTCAGATTATGTATCATCAACTTTTTTTTCGGACGTTCTGTAAACAACGAGGAAAGGTGACCTCAAGATCCTTGGGATATTTTCAATCTATTTATACTCCGACGGACGAAATAGGTACTTGGTAAAACTTTCGCTAATGATTACCATGAAGCTGACTCATCTGAGGACCCACGCAAATACAATACACCCTTCACGGTTCTTGAAGTTGATCAGGCAAGGAGCCAAACGATTAGCAGTCAATGTCCTAGTAGCCTCATTAAAACCTAAGGTGTATGTATAGTCCGAAGCCATGGAACGGAAATTACTAAAATGGAGTTGTTTTTCGGCAGACCTTTTCACTTAGTCACGAGTCGGGAGGACATACAAAAATTCGGGAGAATCCCGCCATATCCCTAATTTTTCTCTCATCTGGCAACCATAATCATAGACATGTATACTGTCTAAAGTCTAGGCTATAACTACTTCATCTATCTTTATCTTTAGACCTTCATGAATTTGACCCGACTTCTAATCTTACACTTGCAGCTAACGTGCACTAAGTCTATCCGCATGACACTCACGTTGATCCACCAGTTCCCATGTCTCAATTGTTCAATTGCTCCGGAATGGAGCAAGGCCGTGCGGTTTAATATCATCTGTAGCCGGGCAGAACGTTTTAACTCGGCACGATTGATAAATAGATAAAAAAGACCGCAATAGTGATGCTTATAGATTATTTTATTTAGAAGGTATCACTGTGGAAATCCTTTGTACAGCAGTGGACGTCCATTGATTAAAACGAAGGAAAGAACATATTACCACTTTCCCATATCTTTTAAGACGTTAGAAGAGAAGTTTTTTGATGCAGTAAACTCGTTTTTTGATATTCAGAAAATACCTGAAAGTTAAAGTGCGAAAAACTTTGTTTCATTTAGCTCGTTTCCCTAAAATCTAAAGTCTAATTTATCAGTTCTGTAATTAACGAGTACACGACCTTGATGTGAGCTAATCAGAAAACCATTGTCTATTGTACTGCCCAGATCGTTACGGTCTTTTGGGACAATAGCAATTAGATTTACGGTTTGCGAACTAGGTATTTCCTTCCATTAAATGCATCCAATCAATGGTCAATTGATTCTTTTTCTCCATTCTGATGGTGGATATGATTAATCTTTGGAAGTTTTATGACATTATGAAAAAAAAAAACTGTGCTAAAAGAACTAGCAGTTCCGTATTTTTTATAGCCATGATTAATAATTACCATTTACTCGACGACGTAATAAATAATGACGTATTGCTAAAAGTATTGCCCATAGCATAAGCTATGTTATTGTGCTAATATTAGGTCTATTACACACAGCAAACAAAGGTTGGTGGATACGATAAACGATTGTATGTGTATGATGACTGCTATGACATTATTTGCATTATGTGTGGCCTTGGCTTTATCAGGAGGAAATGTTATACATTGCAATTGCATAGTTGTGTGATATTATTATACAATGTATGTCAAGTTGTGGGTTTACTATTCGACTTTTTTAGTCCTTAGCATGCCTATGAACTAAATGTGTTTTTTTAGATGAAGAACTTCTCAGAGAGAAGCGCCACTACGATGCGGAAATCCAAAAGAAAAAAAATATAGGAGACCAATGACCAAGTCAGGATTTTGGGAAGGCGATGCAAATAAACGAAAGGTACTCGGCGGCGTTCTTTGGTGGAGTTTTATGTCCAGCAGTGGACTTCTATACTCAGACTGGTGATTATGAAATAAGGAAGAACATCACAATTTCATAAATTATTGTGATGAAACAATATTATGAACTAATTTTTTTTCTATCTTATAAGCCAAGTTATGGAAATAAATCCAAAGATAAACCTTGGTCCTTCTCATGGTTGATTGTTTGATTTTGTGTGGGAAACAATTTGTATGACCACATTCGAATTACCTCTGATGATAAGGCGAATGCTAAGCCATTAACCTGAGTGGGCGAGGTGATGATTTATTATGGTTTGTACATCTACCCACACTAATAATAGGTTAGTTAAAACCCAGTAGACACAGAAGTCTTGGAAATAAGATTAAACATTTTCAAAGCTAATTTAATTTCTAATTAAAAATAATAATTTAATCTGTTAGAGATGTATCAATTTTAAACTTTTACGTAAAATTTTAATTGATTATAAAATATTTTTAACAATAAAATAATTTGTGATAAAAATAATCTGCTGTGGTACACATTTATCACAACTAGAGATGGGTTTGTAGCCAGCTAGTTTGGATAATAACTGATTATTATCTATTAATAGCCATTATTAGCCATCCATTGGCTATTAACCCTGCTATTAATAGTTTCTTACGTTTTTTCTTCCACCTTTAAAATCAAATCAATATTAAAATCAAATATTACTCAAAGAAACAAAAAAGAACTAAAAAACATNCATAGCTCTAATAAATCAATAACTCACCACTTTATAATTTTTGATGCTCGGCAAAAATCTTTTCTGCTCAACTTCTTTCTTTTGGAAGACCTCATTGATGATATTCCCGATTGCCTGAGCACCATACTGGATTAAAGCCTGCCCTCCTTGGTTCAAGAGCTGTCTGCCGGCGCCTTGCAAAAGCGCGCCAAAATCGCCGCCGCCATTTTGCGCCATGGCGCTGTCCCACTCACACTACTCACTATTGTTTACTATCTTACTCTTCGCTAGGACATTTTGAGTTTGCTGTCAAAAGTTTTTTTTATGAAAATGCATTCGCAATATTGGTGTTACCAGTTATTATGGTGCTGTTTAGTTTAAAAAACATTTAATTTTTATTAGATATTTTAACAAAAACTTTTTTAATGTTTTTTAACTTTTTGAAATAAAGCACAAGAAACACAGTCATTCATCCTATTGTAATCACAAAACTAACGTGGAATTGTGGAGGCTGAATGGAGGTCGTTGTCAGGTTACGCTATTATAAAGTGACATCACCACTGTAGAGTGCTAATTAAACCTCTTTGCAGCATTTCTGTGGAATGATCAACAATATTTTGTATTCTTACATTGTTTTTGTAAAACTTCTTTGAGTTTATAACAAAAGCTATTGATGAAAATGATATGATAGTAATTTTATAAGGTTTTTTTTAAGCTATTAACTTAGTTTTTCACATAACATGAAACAATCTTCATTACTGTATAGTAACTAAGCTCATTCCTTACATATTTTAACCTAAAATATAATTCATGAATGTTTATCGTTGAGTATTTTATCTAAACAACATTCAAATTTTATCTTGCAGTCAAGGCAACCTTATCAATAGAGCTTTTTCGATAAGAATTATTTACAAATATTATTTATATTGATCGAATTTTTGTAAAAAAACACTTCAAAAATATTCAAATGTGAAAATATAGGTCAGTAGAGCAGAATGTGAAAACTTATTAAAATAGTTGGAATATGAGAAATGTAATTGAACGATTTCATACTACGTGGTGGTCTTGATCCATCAGATAATCTTACAGCTTAGTAATTTGTCCAAAATACGTGAGGTCATAGTTTAGAAGTTAGAACCCGACAGCCGACCACTCCACCCACATTTTTAACGTTCTATCACATTTAATGGGTTTACACTTTTATTAAACAGTACCACAATGATAACACCAACACCTATGCATAATTTAAGCAAGATTTGTGCAGTAATTAATTGAAAATTAAATATTTTTTAAGACAGCACTCGTACCGTAAAATCTCTGAATTTGACAGCTACCTACACGATTAATTCAAGAATGCTCTTCGCTATGCATTGATTGGCCGGCTAACGTGGCCTACTTTATTCGGTCGCGTTGCGCACAGATTATTGCCAGAGGAATCGAATGACGTAAGCAACTAAAAGCAGTTTCATTAAGTTTTTATACTTCCGTTATTAAAACATATCCAGTGAACACNTGTATGTTGTATTGAATTAAGCATTATATCACGTTCATGTTTCCAAAGATCACACTCCCACAAGATATGATGGGCAGACTGCTCATGACTGACATCATCAGTGGAACACTCGCAAAAAGGAGACGGAACTAGTTTGAATTCGTGAAGTTTATGTTTAAAGTTGCCATGTCCCGTGAGGAACGGTCATAGTTTAGAAGTTAGAACCCGACAGCCGACCACTCCAACTACATTTTTATCGTTCTATCACATTTAATGGGTTTACACTTTTATTACACAGCACCACAATGATAACACCAACACCTATGCATAATTTAAGCAAGATTTGTGCATTAATTAATTGAAAATTAAATATTTTTTAAGACTGCACTCGTACCGTAAAATCTCTGAATTTGACAGCTAGCTACACTATTAATTCAAGAATGCTCTTCGCTATGCATTGATTGGCCGGCTATCGTGGCCTACTTTATTCGGTCGCGTTGTGCACAGATTATTGCCAGAGGAATCGAATGACGTAAGCGACTAAAAGCAGTTTCATTAAGTTTTTATACTTCCGTTATTAAAACATATCCAGTGAACACTGGAAATGTAGTAACTGTGAGTAAAATATTAATAATTAAATTTATCTCCTTTTATTGAACGATTTTGTTTAAGTTTCTTGCAACACCTATGAAAGTTCCGCGGCGTGACCTTGAATTAAAGTACTCAGTTGACTCATGTAATGATGGCGTACCTGTAGGTAACCGGAATTCCGGAAAACTGGGTCATTTTCCCATTGTAAGCTGGCTGTTGAGGAAATACAAAGAGGCGAGCTAAAGTACCTACAAATAATTTTGTATTGTAGGGAGGGAAGAACTTATTAAGCTTTTGTTTTTGAGTTCTTGGCAGTACAAACTTACGAAGAAGCACATTAAAACATTTTTTTTAATACAGATAATTTAATAACAGCTTTAATAAGTACATAATCTAAGCTTTTATGACTTTTTGGCAGGTTCCAGAATATTAACGGCCAAAAAAAGGCGTATTGAAGGAAAATGATTGTTCTTTAGAGTAATCTATAATACATAATCCAGTCATCTTTTAAAAAAATCAGATAAGTAGGGTAAGTGCGCTAGTTTTCGTCCAATTATCGGAGTTGCCAAATTTGTGATGCGAAATGAATATCTTAAAATACCCTTACTCATATGTATCATATGTCATTTTAGTCCTTATATAGTCTACTTTACGTTAATATTATATGACAATAAGTAAATACAACGGGTTTTTTTTATAAAAAAACATTTTATGCAAAAGAGGCGATTTCACTAGTTTTCGTCCAAAAAAATCAGTTTTCGTCCTAGTGTACGCTAGTTTTCGACCACTGTGTAGAAAAAAGGGTGCAGTTGAATTACTAACTTAAAACCAATTCTACAATACAGTAACTATGGATTGTGGTATATCATTTGAAAGGTAATTTTGTTAGCTTTCAAATGATATCAAAAAGATTTAAATAAGTTTCTTGCCTAAATTTAGGAAAATATTGCAATAGGTCGAAGGACAAATGGACGAATACTAATCTACAGGAATAGCTAATTTTGGTTTTCGTCCACCCCAGTGCTTGCTCATGACGTCATGGGCGAAAACACAACAACGTTTAAAGCTGTTTTTTGTTTTCGTCCACATCTTTTTAACGGTTTTTATGGGTTTATCACTGTTAAAAAGTGGACGTAAACTAAAATGTTTAATGTAATAGCAATAAAGATCATATTGGAAGAAAAAACATTGTATTTTGTAGGTCCATTGAAGTAAAATGATTATTAAAAATAGTAACTTGGTGTCAGGGTTTCCGTCCACGTGGACGAAAACTAAAATCTTGCAAAATTGTTATGCTAGTATTAGTCCACTTAATTATCTAAGATTTCTATACAAAACCTTTAATAAACCCTTAAAATAGTGTTTATTATGCTAATAATTAGACATGCGTGCCAAAAACATTTACATAAAGTAGCTAAAACAGTAATTAAACATACCATGAAAGTTCCCTACCAGTACGTTTTTTTTCTAACTTGACGACGTTTTCCATTCACCTGTGTGCAGCAGCAACTTCCGTAGATTATTTTGGAGTTATTACTTGTCAAATTACATTTTCATGCAGGCAGAACTGTTACTTAGATAATAAAAATTGTAACAAGTTCAAACTTGCACGGAAAGTTAGGCTTGTATTCTAATTTTCCGTATTTGTTTGTGGCAAGTCGGTCAAATGGACGAAAACAGGAGCTGGACGGAAAACCGGCGCAATTACCCTACAATAGATAGGTAGGTATACTCAATTTGAAGGCCCCGCCATTACGTATGGCAATGAGGATCATTTCGGTTTTTAGCTGTGAATGCAGATTTATAGGGCTAAGAAATCCTTAATAAACAGTGCNTAGTTGGAATATGAGAAATGTAATTGAACGATTTCATACTACGTGGTGGTCTTGATCCATCAGATAATCTTACAGCTTAGTAATTTGTCCAAAATACGTGAGGTCATAGTTTAGAAGTTAGAACCCGACAGCCGACCACTCCACCCACATTTTTAACGTTCTATCACATTTAATGGGTTTACACTTTTATTAAACAGTACCACAATGATAACACCAACACCTATGCATAATTTAAGCAAGATTTGTGCAGTAATTAATTGAAAATTAAATATTTTTTAAGACAGCACTCGTACCGTAAAATCTCTGAATTTGACAGCTACCTACACGATTAATTCAAGAATGCTCTTCGCTATGCATTGATTGGCCGGCTAACGTGGCCTACTTTATTCGGTCGCGTTGCGCACAGATTATTGCCAGAGGAATCGAATGACGTAAGCAACTAAAAGCAGTTTCATTAAGTTTTTATACTTCCGTTATTAAAACATATCCAGTGAACACTGTAAATGTAGTTATTGCGAGTAAAATATTAATAATTTATTTATTTCCTTTTATTGAACGATTTGGTTTTACGTTTCTTGCAACACCTATGATAATTCCGCGGGTGACCTTGCATTAAAGCACTCAGTTGACTCATGTAATGATGGCGTACCTGTAGGTAGGTAACCGGAATTCCGGAAAATTGGGTCATTTTCCCATTGTTAGCTGGCCGTTGAGTAGAGGGAATAGAGGCGAGCTAAAGTACCTACAAGTATTGTGTATTGTGGGTCCTCCGCACTATTTAGGTTTGTTTTTGAGTTCTTGGCGGTACAAACTTTCGAAGAAACACAATAAAATATATTTTTGTACAAATTTTCGTATAGATACCTAGTTTGATAACGGCTTTATTAAGTAATCTAAGCTTTTATGACTTTTTGGCAGGTTCCAGAATGAGGATCATTTCGATTTTTAGCTGTGAATGCAGATTTATAGGGCTAAGAAATCCTTAATACACAGTGCAAAAATTTTTGTTCTACGACAAAAATTGACGAAGTTATGGCCAAATTACTAAAAAAGTTCACTGACCGCCCGGCGCGGGGACGATGACGTCATTATATCCGATCCGAACGCTGCCGGCGTACTGCGTGGATAGAAAATATTTTTTTCTAGCCAAATTATCAGTTTTAGAGAAAAACTTGTAATGACATTTATTCATCAGAATAAAGTAAGCTATCGATAGGTAATTTTTAAAAATGGAAATTGTGAAAAATAACGCAAAAAATCCATACGCTCATACGATTCAATGGCACGCAGAGACGCGATTGGGGTCTCCGCGGTGGTATATTTGGCGATTTATTCAAATAAAGTGTACATAAGTGTTGTTAGAGTCATATCTTCTTCCAAGTAAAATATAAAAATGTATAAGTATTAATTTATTTACTTCTAACAATAAGGTATAACTTCTAACA